CTAGCCGTGTATGCGTGAAAGCGTCATATGGGAACTTGTATTTATCTTCTCGGATAGCCATTTCCCGAAGCAGATAAGGCAGCATGACTGCAAGAGGCTCAACTGCTTTCGCTATTTCCGCAGCGCTAGAATGATGAACGAGACTGTCCCAAATGAGAATGTGCCTCTGAGGTATAGAGATACACAGAGCAACCCAATGATCATCCTTTACATTCAAGGGCGTGTATATGTCATCGACGTCCACCCCCATGTCTTGCCTGTTTTTCAGTACACTGGTGTCTCACCGGTGTAATAATCAAAGGCACCAGGCGGCAGTTGTCTACCTGATTCATCGGGATTCGGTTCGGTGGCAAGAAAATCCGCGTACTTGGTACGCCACATCATGCTCAAAATCGTATCAAGTAAGCAGATACGATCACTCCTAAGCCATTGTGGATGTTCCATGAATCGACATCTCAGTAGGTTGATGACAGCATCCATGTGCTACATAGCCAAATAAGGAAGTTAAGAAAGTCAGAAACAAAAGTCAAGAAACAGAAGTCTACTCGAGAAGAAGCCTACTAGAGAGAAGTCTACTCGAGAAGAAGTCTACTCGAGAGAAGTCTACTCGAGAAGAAGTCTACTCGAGAAGAAGTCTACTCGAGAGAAGTCTACTCGCGAAGAAGTCTACTCGATAAGATGTCTACTCGAGAGAAAGACTAACCGTATCTGCGAGCCATTGTTGTGGCGTCCTCAGCAGCCACCACCAGTGGTTTATTGGGTACTTCTTAGCATGTCTACTCGGCCAATTTCTGCAGACAACATTAGTACATAATCATCAGACTTTAATTAGTACACAATCACAAGACTCACAACTTGTTTTATACAGAGAGCTTACGGAAGACGTTTGAAAAACTCAGTTACAGCTTTATTCTTTGCTGCATCAATGGGAACAAAAGGATCATATCCAGCGCCTAGTCTAGACAACCTCCTTGTCTTCTCGGAGGTCTTGGCTCGTGACAAAATTTTTGCTGCGGCCTTCTTTGACTGCTGTTTCCTTAACTGCACCTCCAAATCCTCTTCCGTTGTTTCCGTGACTCGACAAATACGACACTATCCACGTCCTCGCGGTTGACACTCTCACATGGTTTTTTCTGAAATAATGCATTATACATGTTACTGAGAAGAACAACATGACAAAATAAACGGTTTCATTTATTGGAATTTATTAAAGTAAACGAAACATAAGTCAGATTACACGGTACAGGTACAAATTTTTGAAAACATACAAAAATAGAAAAACATCTAGTTCTTTTTGGAAGACCTCGCTCTTGCCCTAGTAAGCCTAAGAACTGGACTCAACGAAGGAATAACAGGCTTAGCAGTCTTAGAAGTCTTTTTAGTTGATTTGAGAGAGGGATCGGTACTAACCCGACCATCGTTTGACTTGACATGCTCCTCATCCTTTGGCTCTTTCATCTTGGCAACAATATGCTCCACGGCGACAACCTTTTCAGAGAGGAGGTCCAACTTCTTATTGAAGGCCTCAAACCCAGCCTTTATTTCCCCAGACAATGTTCTGCAACATTCTGAGAAATGTTGCTTCATCACCTCAGCAAGACTCTTCAAACCCTCCTCTTCTATAGTAGCAGGAGGCACTGGACAAGTCTTCTTCATGCTCCCATCGTCTGGGTCAACACGGATTTCATCATCTTTAACTTTCCTTTTTTGGCCCTTTGTGGCCTATAACTTCTTAACCCCTTTGGACCGCCAATGACTAGGCTTCCACTTCCAACGACCACCACCAAACTCCCCAAACATGGCTCCCACAACGTTCTCGATAAGGACATCGTCTACCTCATGATCCCAGGTAGGGAACATTTCCTCCCGTTCCTTGACACAAAAGTTGTTGAAGCTAACCTGCAAACAATTGGAATATATATGTTACAGAGGTCTACGCAAAAAATTATACTCGAGAGAAGTCTACTCGATACGAGGAGAAGTCTACTCGATAAGAGGAGAAGTCTACTCGAGACGGGGAGAAGTCTACTCGAGACGGGGAGAAGTCTACTCGAGACGAGGAGAAGTCTACTCGAGACGAGGAGAAGTCTACTCGAGACGAGGAGAAGTCTACTCGAGAAGCAAATATAGTTTAGGATTACCTGTTTCAACATAGCTTCTTTGATGTATTTTCGTCCTCGGTAACCATTGAAAGCCAGCACCGGTGGAGTTGGGTTGTCGGGAAGAGGATTTCCGTAATGCCTCCCAAAATCTGGCATAGCATAATACGCCCAAACTTGGAGCACTTCGGCAAACCCATAGAGAGTAACAGTCTTTGTCAAATCAGCTCTTTTGACAGACTCTATGAGGGTCTTGAAAGCCACTCTTCCCCATGGGTAATTTGCAAATTCCTCGACATCCATAACTAGCCTGGCATAGTTCAACCGTGTGGGTGAATCCATCTTCCTTGCCTCGATAAATCCAGCGAAGATGGATAAATATCCTAGCATAAGCTTCTCATCCCTTGTCCACTCCCCAGCACGCTTACATGCTTCAGTAAGTTCATTAACGGTGGGGCCAACATCTATACTAATGCCAAGCTTCTCCCAGAAATATTTCATCTCAGGAGTAACTTCTGCTTCCTCCAGTTCCTCAACATCCTCGCAGTTGAGACCGGTGAGTTGTTCAAACTCATTGAGTGAAAACCGAAGTGGGGTTGCATTTATGAGACTCCATATCTCATACTTCTTCTTGCAGTCCAGCTGAAACCGAGTATAAACTGCACCACCCTCGACGCCCAGCCAAAATTCAGTTTGTAAAACTTTAGAAAAACACCAAGCCTTGATTCCAAAAGCTCTTCCCATATATCTGCTTCCAGTACTGCTTCCAATGCAGGAAACAACTTCCTACTGTTGCTGTAGTAGGCTATACTTTTCCCAGGTTGGGGCTCCTCGTCCTTTGTGAATAATCTCCTTGGAAACTTGGGCTGCTTCTCCATCCTGCAAAACCAAAGATGACATAAATATGTAAGAAATATATAATTATTAGCAAATGGCAGAAGTCTAGTTCAGAAAGAAGTCTACTTTTCTCCGAGAAGTCTACTCGCGAAAAAGTCTACTCGAGAAGAAGTCTACTTAGAGAAGTCTACTCGAAAGAGAAGTCTACTCGAGAAGAAGTCTACTTAGAGAAGTCTACTCGAAAGAAAAGTCTACTCGAGAAGAAGTCTACTCGAAAGAGAAGTCTACTCGAAAGCGAAGTCTACTCTAGAGAAGTCTACTTATACGAATTCTAAAATAAATCACTAGTTACATAAATTACCTTTGCGAACACTGAAATCCGGCGGAGACAACCAACAGGGTCGTCGACATCTGTAAATTCAAACAAAAATTTTCCAAATTAGCGGCGGCGATGATATCTAGGGCAAAAAATTAAATCTAACAGATGCCAGACAAAGAGAAATGAGGACATAATTACCAGCAGTAACAAGGTGACGAGGCGACAAGGCAACAGAGGCGGCGATGAAAAGAGATGAACGAAATCGATTAAGGTCTATATACAGATAAAGAGATATACTAAGTGAGAGATCTGAGAGAGGAGAATAGAGATTACCTCCGTTGACAATTTACAAACGGTGGTGATGAGTTGAAGCAGCCGCGGCGACGACGGTATGAACGGCGACATAAATGGCGAAAGAAATCGCCCAAACGCTGGTTACGAGTCGAGAGAAACTAGGGTTTGTGGAATGGATTACTTTCGGGTAAAAATGAAATATATAGGCCGGTTAAAAATGGGTTAGTAATATTATTCGGTTCAGTGATTATTTTTATTTTACTCGGACATAACCGGTCAAAGAAGTCTACTTTTGATTCTAATTCGGTAAGAGAAGTCTACTAGATAGAAGTCTACTTTGGTCCGAGACGTCTACTCGAGAGAAGTCTACTTAACCCTAAACCCTAAATCAATTTTTTTAAATTAAAACTTATATGAAAACATTAATTACTTACCATATTGACAAGTCATAGTTAAAATAACAAATATATGAACCATAATTCATTAATTGAACCATAAACTATGATTCATATAGAATTTGTGCAAACCCTAAGAATTACACTCTTATACTCTTAACCATAAACCTCAACCCTAACCCTTTTGATTTGTATACTTATGAAACTTATAAATTGATTCATTTTCATGATTTTTTTTTATACAGATGCTAAATGTATCTTTTTTAATTGTGTATATAATGTTTTTACCAAATTATTTTTCATATTTTTAAAATTAGTGGTAAAAAAATTAAAAGAAAGTAGACTTCTCCAAGAAGTCTACTCCTGAGAAGTCTACTTTAGAATCTGAGAAGTCTATTTAGTATTGATTTCTAACCTAATTTATCTATGATTATTTAAATTAATTATTTTGTGTCAAATTTTATTTTTAATAAGTGTAAAAAGTATATGTTTTTGTTATTTTGATAATTTTTTTACCAAATTATTTTTTATAATTTTTTTAATTAATGGTAAAGACATTATTCCAGAGTAGACTTCTCGACTTCTCGGAGAAGTCTACTCGAGAAGTCTACTCGAGCTCGAGTAGACTTCTCGGAGATAAAATAGTCATTGCGACGAGCGTTTTTTGTTTGGTCAGAAGGGATAATATTGTAATTTCATTATCCCTGTGAGTTATTTTTGTCAAACATGCAATAAAGGGTCTAGTTTTGCAATTCAAATCAAGTTTTGAGTCATATTCAGCAATTCCTCCTATAATCATATCACATTTACAAAGTATATATATTTTCTAACAAATTTATGCTTATGCTCCAATACATTAAAACTTGGTAAGCACTTTTAAAACTTGGAACACATTATTACGCATTCTACTCAAAAATATGTAAAGTTAAAAGCCATGATTGCTTCCACATTTTCGAGTCAATATAGATAATGCAGATGAGACTGTAACCCATTTGCCTACTCATAAAAGGCAAACTTCTGATACCATAGTTCACAAATATCTTACACTATTAAAGTCTACTATCACTCTCATTGTTTTCTCACCAACAACAAAAAAAATATATATCGGTTTTGATTATAAAAAAAAAAAAATCAAATTGTTTGTCATTCACTATTAAGTGTAAACTATTTATTCGTTTGTCCAGACTCACAGTATCCCACAAAGCCAACCCCACCATGCATATCATATCTCTTTCTTCCTCCTTAATTTTTTTCATTTTCCTCTTCCTCGCATCAACCATTCCGATTTATCCGGCGAAACCCACAACCTCTCAGCCTCCGGCACCGCGGAGACGCCAGCACAGAGAGCTCTCTGGCGATTACTACTCCAAGACATGTCCTCAGCTGGAAAATCTTGTCGGTTCCGTCACTTCCCAGCGGTTCAAAGAAGCACCCATCTCGGCTCCCGCCACCATTCGCCTATTCTTCCACGACTGCTTCGTTGAGGTCAATTTTTATATATCCAAGATTACAAATTGAATTATTGCGTTCTCTTTTTCACGCAGTCCAGCGCACGATAGCAGAAACCATTTTACCACAAGACGCATTTTATATCATTACTAACTGAAATGGTGAAATTTAAATGCATCATCTCTTTATACGAAAATCATTATATTGAAAAGTTTTCTATAAAAAAAATTTATTGGAAAGTACACCTAAAATATGGAATGTAATCCCAACAAAACATTGTGGCGCGTTTTAGCAAGAACGCATTTTAGTAACAAACTCAAGAGTATCTTGGTCTGCCTGTATTGCTGTTTGTTTGCACATTTCCTCACATGCATGCAAACTAACAAATCATAGACTACGTTGATTAATTAATGATCAACATAAGTTAAAAAAATGAGTTAAATTTGGAATTTTGAAGGGTTGTGATGGGTCGATATTGATAGAAACAGAGAAAGGAAACAAGAGATTAGCAGAAAAAGAAGCAGAGGAGAATAAAGATTTGAGAGAAGAAGGATTTGAGAGTGTCTTCAAGGCAAAGGCATTGGTTGAGTCTCATTGCCCTTCTCGCGTCTCTTGCTCTGATATTCTCGCCATCGCCGCTCGAGACTTCATCCACCTGGTAATCCCCAACTTCGATCTATCTACTTCTAATCATTTTGCATTCATATGATTGGCTCCTAAACCGGACTTGCATACCAAATACTTCACATTGTGATCCAAACCTGTTTTGGATATAGTTTTGGCTTTGGTTCAGTTTCTTCTGTACTTATATTTTAGTTGCTTTGGTATTGATTACGTGTCATTGACTAATGGTTCTGTTTTGATTGCCAACTAGGCAGGTGGGCCCTCCTATCAAGTGATATTGATTACGTGTCATTGACTAATGCTTCTGTTTTGATTCCAACTAGGCAGGTGGGCCCTACTATCAAGTGAGGAAAGGAAGGTGGGACGGGAAAAGATCAACGGCAACGAACGTCTCTCCAAACATACCTCGATCAAACTCCACCGTCGATCAGCTCATCAAGCTCTTCGCGTCCAAAGGACTAACCGTAGAGGACCTCGTCGTCCTTTCCGGGTCCCACACAATCGGTTTCGCTCACTGCAAGAGTTTCAGTAGTCGTCTCTACGACTTCAAAGGCACGAAACGACCCGACCCGACTCTCGACCCGAGATTACTCAAGGAGCTCCGTATGTCGTGCCCTTTCTCCGGAGGAAGCTCCGGCGTCGCCCTTCCGCTCGATGCGACTACTCCGTTTGTGTTCGACAACGGCTATTTCACAGGACTAGGAACTAACATGGGCCTTCTCGGGTCGGACCAAGCCTTGTTTCTTGACCCGAGGACGAAGCCCATTGCGGTTGAGATGGGTAGAGATAAGCAGAGGTTTCTCAAGGCGTTTGGAGATGCTATGGATAAGATGGGTTCTATTGGTGTAAAAAGAGGTAGGAGACATGGGGAGATACGAACAGATTGTCGAGTCTTTTTATAAATTTTATTTACTTGTATTTTACTTTGTTGTTTTGTGTGTGGATTTTTTTTTTGTCTTGATCTTGATCTTGATGTGTCTTCTCTCCTCTGTCGGAAGTTTCTTGATTGTTTTGTTCACAGTACGATACGGTACTTTTCGAAAGCATCCGTTATTTAATTTTGGAAAGATACAGATTTAAGATATATAATGATAATATATTTTTTGGTTATCTTACAACTTTACAAGTATTTGTTTTTTATATGGAAAAAAGTTCACAAACACTTATTATGAGTTGCAGTAAAAAAAAAAAAAATTATTACGAGTCTGTCAAATGCTGTTACCGAGTTTAATCCATTTCAACATGAATCAACAAATCTGTTTTACTACAAAATCAATATAAACCAGCAATGATGCAAATGTGTTACTCTCTAGATCACTTTCTTGTTCCAATCACAAGATGATATTAGATTATAGTTTCGACTTTCAACCCCATCCAAAACAAAATAATATAAAACACTTTACAACTTTGTTGTCGTCCTCTTTGTAAATCTTGCAAGTAAAATGTCAGTCGTTTCTTTTTTTTGATCCTTTGGACTTTCAAGAATGTAATATACATGCAAGTGTGTATTTCAGTCAAGTTCTTCACATCGAAAGAGCTGCGTAGAGAAGCTGGTTCCAAGTATCCGGCAAGCCAGGAAGGCACCAGTGGCTACAATCCATCCCTCCATCGCCTCCATAGGTAGATGGATGAGCATCTTTTCTTAGTTGAGACAGAGTTGTGATATCGAGTAAGTAAACGGGTGTTTTCATCGATCTCAACACTCGGGACACGATATTTGCCGCAGGAAGTGAACCGCCTGGGTACGTTGATCCGCTCAACGGTTGCATCTGTCCGTTGCAAGTCTTACTCGGCTCATTCCATTCTCTTCCTCTATATATTGATCACCCAAAAGAAACAAGTCAAGACATTTTTTACCTTACAAATCCGTGGTTTTCTGTCGCATATATGTGTGTGTGTGTGTGTGTGTGTGTGTGTGTTTGTGATGAACTTACACGTAGTGAGTTGGAGAAATGCCTTGGAAGAAAACTCGGGTTTGAGAAGCATTAACATTTTGATCAACCCATTGAGCCCAAGTGGTGAGTCCTTTGTTGAAAGCATCAAGCCGGTCCATGTCTCTGATCAATGAAGACCCATTTCTTATAAAATCCCACCTATGAAAAAAAAAACAATAGAAGAAGAGAAGATGTTTTTGGTTAACAAAGAATGTCTTAAATCACAAATTAGACATATATAATATAGGGTGATAGCTTCAAGTGTAAGATACATGGTACGAACCCTTGTGATTGTGCTCCTTTGTGAACCCACCAGTGCCAAGAATTGAAGACTAGAATGTCCATGTCTTTCCAAGCATCAGCACCATCTTCGATGGCTCCAAGGTCAAGCACACGCCCTACATTCTCTTTGGAGATATCCACTAGGTATGGTGTTCGGTATAGGTATATTGTGACTCCATATTCCTGTTTTTCTTTTTCATTTAAAAATGGTTGAGAAAATTCTAATTGTCTTTATCGTATGTGAAAAATATATTGTGACTCCATATTCCTGTTTGTACTCGTATCTAGCCGCAAATAACTGTATTAGAATTCGAGTGTCCGACATTTTAAATGGACTGGTACGAGTATTTCAGATAACATGGTTTTATATGATTAGAAAAACGAAATTGAAGAAAACAAGTTGAAATGGTTTATTAGTTGTCATCAGCTGTCAGGTCTCCTACTTCCTTTTCTTGCTATGTTCTCTTCTTTTTGTTTTTTTCCAAGTTATATATTGTTATATATTAATTTATGATACTTTTTCAATTTTTTCTAGAAAAAACAATGAGAAATTGCCAAAAACCTAAGTCAACACTTGGAATTTGAAAAGTGAAACAAAAGGCAGAATGGTGTACGGTGAAATGTGATTGTGTGAGGTGCGCATCTTTTTCAATATCGGCTGTTAAAATATTATACCACAATATATAGAAAGCGGAAGCAAACTGCTACGTCAAAATTTACAAAATTGTTTACGAAAAATCTCTTTGGTTTAAAGTATGATATAGAAGATAAAATTAGGATTAAGTTGTTTATAAAATTAATGGTTACAGTTCTCTTCCAGTTTTAATAATTAAAGAAATAGACAGACCATTAGGCAGACAGCATCATAATAGCTTGGATGTCAAGCATTTTCACAAAACATCTTTAAATTTAAAATCAAAAGAAAATTTTGAAAATGCTTCTTTTACAAATGAATTATATAGTATAATAATATATAGTCCGTGACCAACTCGATTCAACAAAATGACAAGTCCTCCTCGTGATGATGAATTATTTAGATTTTGTTTTTTTATCCAAAGACGCATTTTTAAATTATAATAAGGAAAAAAACGAAGAAGGGAAAGAGAGAGGGACCTGGAAAGTGAGAGAGGAGACTGGGGTACGTTTGAGAAAAGTGGTCTTGGTGTCTGGTACCGACGAATGTATCATACATCCTAACGATTCCCACATGTTTAGACTCAGTGAGTCACCAACGAACATCACTCGTTTCCCTCTCCATTTCTTCAGAAACGCTTCTCCATCAAACCTTCATTTACAATTTACATACATTATCATCATTATTATGCTTAAATGTATATATGTTTGCATGATGATGTTACATTACATACCTTGGGATGGTGCATGAATCAGGCTGCCAAGAGTATCTGAGGAACTGTTTGTCCGGTCGGCCGAATTTGAGACAGTCAAACTCACCGTCGATGAAAGGACACGTGGTCGAATCGTAGAAAGGGTAAGAAGCATCGAAAACCCATCTCCCTTGGAACAAGTTACAACCACTCGCTTGCTTCCTCCCTTTCAACGTCACTGTTCCTCCTCCTTCGACGGCAGTCATATTACGGTGGCTTACATGTGGTTTCTTGCCGGAAGCCAAGGCCTCGTCCGCTCCGGACAAGATTGTGAGTATGAGAAGTGAAAGAAGAGGCAAAAGAGAGATGAGTTTGAAACCCATCTTTCAAAGAAAAAAGATGTGGGTTTCTTTTATTGAAGAGGATTTGTAATGGAATTAGGTTTATATATATATACACACGTAAATACTTACATAGATTATAAATACAGTTGTGAGTAGTGTGAAGAGATTCTTGGGTGGAGACACTATTGGCCTTATATGCGTTAGAAATTAAATATAAAATAATTAAGAAAACCATCATTTCATTAGGAAACCCTCAAACTGGTATGCTATCAATTCATTTACAAAAGGGATATCATTTTTAAAATATTTTTTAGTATATTTTATTTTCAGAATCTCATCATAAATTTGTACCTCTATTGATAAGATATATTCATTAATTTAATTACTGTTTTAATGTAATTTAGTATTTTTATCATAGTTTAGTTTAGGAATTTTAATAAGTTTTTTAATGTTCCAAATATAAATCATCAAATAGCACTGTCGTTAATTTTGTTTCATTATTTAGGAAATGTTAAAATTATTTAAAACTTTCAATTTTTAAAAATAAATTAAACCCTCAATTTGTATACGTTGACGAAAGGTCTCATACATATGCACGACGTAAAAACTCCTAAACGGAACCGTAAAAAGCAAACGCTGTGTCGAAAGGTGTTAAAATGAGGAATTTTTTTCACTAAAATGGTTTTCAACATAATTGAGGGATTTCTTTTGTTTTCGGTAAAATGTACCAAAGTTATGACATGTTCTCACTAAAAACGTTTTGACCAAAGTTCAGACATGTTTCAATAATCACTAATAATATACTTTTGATCAAACGCTACAAACATACAGCATGTATGTAGCGACATAATATAGTGATAGAAAATGCTATCGCTAAAAACGACGAATAGACAAAGAATCTGCGACATATGGCAAACATTATAGCTATGAATTAACAACTGTTGCTGTCAAAACAAATGTTTTTTGTCGACAAAACTGTCTATCGTAAAATAGTGGGTAACTATAGTAACGGAATTATATATGCATAGTGGATAAAAGATTCCATGAAATAGCAAAGTGCTCTAATCTTGGTTTCAATTATTTTGTTAGTGAGCCTATTGCGATCGTTAAATATACCTCTAAAGTCCATGGAATATTCATTGTAATGGTATCTCAACACAAAATTCATAAATCAAAATAAACGATAGGTGTCTTATGATCTAAATCTTGTGAATGCCAATGTTTTACGCAAGGCGGCAAGATTTAAACGATACAAAAAAAACATAGAGAATATATATGCAGCTTATGTGACTTGTAACGTCTACAATTTAAGCTGTTAATCGCCTACCAATGATTGTTTGTTGCCACACCCTTGAAGTCACATTAATTATGGTAATAACTATCGAAGGCAAAAAAAAAGTTTTGCTCTAAGTCATCCACATGCATTATCATTTTAGGTGTGTTTTCGTGGGGCTCCCGTGAATGAATCAAAGGTATTAGTGGGACATTCTATTGCTTTGCTTGTCACGGGGGACATCTTAAATCATTTTCCATCAATCTCACATGCTTCTACGCCATCTGTTCATTTTTTTTTTTTCAAGTTTTCTATTTTTTTTTTTTTTTTTTTTTTGCTTTGATAGGAAAGTTTATAATTTTGATGAAAAAAAATATTTTGTAAGATATGGACAGCACTAGACAGGCAGCCTTGACAAAAAAAAAATTGTGAATTTGTAATTGATTGAGTTTTGTTGATTAGTGTTTTTAAAATAGCGAGTGATCTAAGGAATATATTCACAGCCTCACAAGAGTATATACTCACATGTAAGGGAAGAAAATTATATCACGTTTCTTTTGATTTTGAGATTATATATGATTCGATTCTGAAACTTAACGACTAAAAGCAACCAAACAAAAACGACTTAAATATAATTAACTTTGTGATTTGTATAGTCTGATTGGCTGAATCGAATGAAAAGTATGATGGTCATGGTATATATATATATATATATATGTTATCTAGACAAAATATAATAGCTTGGGCGGATTTTACTATAAAATTGTGTTGGTTTGCGTTTTCTTGTACTATCCTGCAAGTGAAAGCGAAGGTGTTCATCAGCTCAAGAAGTTGAGACTTAAACTTTCTTACTTTGTTTTTAGCTATCTTTATAAGATTTCTTTGTTTCTTCTATTGAGACTCATATGTATCGGCATAATTAGACATGGGTTATCGCTTGTGGGGTTGAAAACACATTTGATAAGCTTTCAAATCCTCTCTGCAAGCCAAATCCATTATCGAAGACGAACAAGTCTGTTATCATCAGGGAATTGAGATAATATAATATTGGTAGATATCTGATTTACGTTGTTGTTTTTACATCCGTATTTCTACTACACCATTTTGTTCGTAATGGCACCAAAAAACAAAAGAGAAAGAGGCAACTAGCAAGCACGTCTTAGCTCTACTATAAGTGATCTAGCTATAAAAAAAATACAGAAAACGTCACAGGAAGAAAAAATACAAAATTTAGCTAGAAAATGAAGCACTGGATATATGGATAAATCCAAGAAGTCGGTGTTGGATTAGTAGTTGGCTTTGAAAATCTGTCACAGCAAGATATATATATATATATATATATATATATATATATATATATATATATATATAATTTTATGTAGCATGCACCCCTATTTTGCATGTTTGCAAATGTTAAAGGCTAGTTTGCAAATGTTAAAGGATTCCTAAGCAATCTTTAAAAAAGGCCACCACCACATTGAACCTTTGTAAACACTACATAAATTTTCATGATATCCAATCCATGCTATCCTAGAAAATCTCATAACGAATATTTGTATGACGTCTAAAATACCAAAATTTCAATACTCTTCTGTTAAAACATTTGAGAAAGTAGAGAAGCTCGTACTACGACCACCAGAACCGATGACCATTATTGTTGTCAAAGCCACGTACACTGAAATATGATATAAATATTAAATAATGACCTTTTATTTTGAAAATATCAACTTTTCTTTCAATAAATTAATACATGTCTTACAAGTTACTTCAAACGCCATGCAGAACAATACAAATATGTGGCTCAAAATATGCGATGTGGATATAAACCGCACCTCAACAATATTGAATTTAGTAATCAAAGAGTACAGTATATATCACTTGGTTAATTTCCATATGAATTTTGTAGTCTGTGTATAAATATAGATATAACAAAACAAATCACTTACGCAACGGGATAAAAAGCATATTGGGCTACACCACACATGCCTTGAGGCCAAGCCACGTCTCTACGTATCCTAATGTAACCATTTTCTCCCCAAGTTTCACCCCAAGAGTTCTTAGCCAACCAGTACTTAGTCCCGTCCTGGTTCGTTCCATAGCCAACGAACGTAACCGCGTGATTCGTGCTGGTTCCACAATCCGGCCCGTCGTATACTCCACCCGAGTAATGCATGAACCCGTCTCCACTCGCGTCCATGGAGACAGAGACGGGTTGCTTCGATACGGCTTCGAGCAAGGCTCGCTCGTTGTTGCTAGGGACAGACTGGAATCCGCTGATCCGTGCAGCGGGTCTTGCATTGGAACGGCATCTCCCATTTGATCCTTGGTAAGAGTAGTCGTTCTCCGAAGCGATGCCTCGGTTATGGATTATATAGTTGAAAGCATCCGACATTATCCCACCGTTGCAGCCTTGGTCGTACTCTCTGTCGCAGTCTAGAAGCTGTTGTTCGGACAGAGATACGAGGTTCCCGCCGGAGATCTTAGCCACACCTTCCACTGCTGCTACAGCCGAAAACGCCCAGCAACATCCTGTACACATAGATTTCTGATCAATTGGATGATCTCATGGAAGAAACGAGGCGATATATGGAGAACTCAAATCACTAAACCCTACACACAATTACTTGCACTATAAGTTTTAATATTTTGCCTTTACATTGCATTTGTTTAGTTTATCCGAATTTTTTAAAAGATTACTATTGTTTTAGTAGTTCAAGTGTTTAACGCTTATATGTTAAATTTTTATGTTTATTTTTTTTAAAGTATAATAATTTAGTTATTTTATCTACAACTTTTTAGAAATTTTCGAAAACTGCAAATGCAAACTCGACGCAATACATATATACTCACGTTAACAAAAATGAGTCTTGTAGTCTAATATTTTTCATTTCTCTTTGGTTTGTAATGTATAATTCTATTAAAAAAATAGCATTACCGCATTGGCCTTGGTATTTGACAGGAGTGACAGCTCCTTCACTCCTCCAGTCCTTGCTCTCGGCTGCTACGTTACTGACGTCCCAAGACTTTGACGGCATCATTTTTCCGACCACCGTGGATGGGGGAATGTTGGTTAGGTTCTTCAGTCCGGTGTGTGTTGCTAGGAACTCCTCGCTGGTCCAATCCGCGAATTCATTGACACCAACCTTGTAGCTTTTGTTCTCTTTCTTGTTGAACTCCTCAATAAACTTCAAGTTCTTCTTGAACACATCGCGTCTCATCTGTTTCTCGAGCTCATCACGGTAAACGCGAGAAAATCGAGCCATCCATTGCTCATGTTTATTAACCATCGACGGCTCGTGGAAGGTGACAGTACGAGACGTAGCTTGAGAGATTCTGAAAGTCGTGAAAAGAATGGTCAAAACCGTGACCAAGACCATGATTGATGCCATTTTGGTTTTGGGATACGGGAGATATAGAGGAAAGCTATTATTATGTTTTTCTTTTTTGCTTATGATTAATGGTGTTGTAGTGTGGTGAAGAAGTGAGGATAGAAGGACGAGTATTTATAGATTTAGGGTTGAACATTGAGATCCAATCGTATGTATGCAAATGCAAGTTGACTTGAATCCATTTGAGGTGATGTTGATACTTTCCATTACTTACGCCGTGATCTTTGGAAGAAAAACTTTATTAGTATTTTCGGTCAATTTTGTGGTTTCACTTTCTTTGGTTCGAAATATATGGAAGTTGGAATTGAAAATCCCTTGGTCGAGTGGTTAACTTGAATGTTGGAATCCATGCGTTCTAACAATGGTTGATTAATTTAAATGGAAGTTTATTTAATCTAATTACAGTCGCATGTACATGTTCTCAAGATAACGAGTTAATTAAAAATCTCTAAATGGACTCACAAAAATCCTGCTGAAACAATATTTTTAATATAAAAGAATGATATTGGATTATTACACAGTAAAGTAACCATCTTAAAAATGAATTACGATAATCTTTCTTTCCCCACTTGGAGTTTTCGCTTTTGCTTATACTGTACTTTGAGCAAAATCCACGAAATAATGGATTATGTTTTCAAGAAAAAATAGATATTATATAGTATTGTCAAACTTGGACTAATGACTGACATGTATATACATGTCTAAAATAGATAAGATACTTTCCATAATAGTATTTTTTTTTCTTACTACAAAAAAGCCATCGTAGACTGAACCGAAACCAAAAAGGCTATACAAAAACTACAACAGTTTCTCCTTTACTATCAAGAATTAATGATCTCATCTTGGTTCAATTTTATTTCAAGAAATCTCATGAAGTAATCTTTTTGGTTAGGATCCTCGTAGGATGTTTTTTTTAACAACATTATATATTAAAAAAATAGAATATTTTATGTTATAAGGATGAAAGTACACTTCCTTTATTTGGCGTGTACTTTACATATTTTTGTAATAAATTCTGTTAGAAAGTTGATTTTCTTTGCCATATCCGCAACCAAAACAAATTGCTATTAAATGTGCAAATCACTCAATGGAGGAGCAAGGGAGCATGGGCTCAAATGAATGCGTCATATTCATCATACATGTTTAACTATCTAGTGTATTAATTATTTATGTCTCTCAACTTGACTCGCGTATTGAAACGACAACAAGTATTGCATAAAAATATAAAAGCTAACTAACAAAAAAGAATTGAACACGTGTTTGAACTAAATAATTACCAAGTTTAGACAAATCACGTAGCGATGAGTAATTTAGCATGCTAAAACGAATTTTGAGATGATTTTATTTCGGCTTCTTCTAGTTTACTTGATTTTAATCATCTAAAACTGATTTGCCTGGTTTTTTTAGACATTAAACCGTGTTTTAGACATCGTCTCCGGGTCGTCTGAAACCCTGAAAACGGAATCTTAGTCATACTCTGATACAACAGAGATGTAAAACAGAAGCAATCATTGACATGTCAGCCATACTCTGATACAAACATGCGTGTTATGTAAAATCTGTTTTGTGAATGATCCTTAGAGATTTGGTTCAGCTTTTACTATATTAGAAAGTTTAGTGGAAACATGAAAGAAGTTTAATTTCATATGGTTCAGCTTTTAATATATATATATATATATATGCGTCTTAGTTTCCTCAAGAAATTATTCACTGTATTCTTGTAGATTTATCATAAGTTGGGTTGATGATAGGTATATATATATATATACATATATTACTAGTAATATGTAACACTGCATCATATGATAAAATCATAAATGAAATATCATTAAAATTTGAAGAACAGGGTTTACATGATAATCATGAAACAAAGAAACTTAATCATTAAATGACGGAAAGACGATAAATATTGCATATTCATCGATATGCTATTCTATAAGTATATTTTTGAAAAGAAAAGAAAAAGCAACAAAAAAGCCTCAGTAAATTACTTTGGTAACATGCTAATAGTTACTCTTCGGTCCCCTCAGCGGTGCAACAACCAGCTTTCTTACAAAGCTTTTTGATTATCCACAAGGCAATAAGCGCCATGCCGACGCCTCCCATCAGACCTCCGCACGTTACGGCAATGGCTACTCCGTCCATCTTCTTCTTCTTTACCACACCACCAAATCTTTAATCTTTCTGAGTTTTCTTTTCTTCCTCGTCTTATAATTGAACTTATATACGCACTTAGTTTACATTTTCTCATTAGAAAACATTAACTACAAAAACTTAGAAATGTTTACATTTATGGTATTTTATTGATATATGTCGTAAGATTCTTTTCAAAACATTCTTTCTAGTATATTAGCAAATATCTTAAGAATATTTGCCTATATAAGATTCATTTATAAATAATACAAGAAGAAAATATTTTTGAATAGGGCTGTTACAAGGAATTTCTCTTTTATTATGGTATCAAATATATTTTCTTAATATATATTGGCTACTGAAAGTTGGAAAGAGTGATTGCGTCTATTGCAAGTTTCTTTATGTGTGCCCTTCAGAATATGCTGTGGTAATAAAAACTGTGTTTTTTAGGTTTAGGGTTAGAGACCCAATGCCGCTGTGTTGTACCAAATGGTCTTTTTTTTTGGGTTTTCCAAGTATCACGAACCAAACTAACTAACAAACAAAAAAAGAATTGAATATGTTTTTTGGGGGACATTACCAATATGACTGATAAGTTCTTTAACATGATTTTAGATATGCTTCAATTACTACAAAAATGAGAGAAGATGATCTTTAGTGAGAAATCAATTATACCAATCCACAAGGAACCAGTTAAACTTGGAGAGAAAGAGACTTTCTTTTAATTAGCCAAAGAATATGATCATTGATAGTAATTTTTTTATATCAATCCACAAAGAATGAAAATTAAACAGTAGTAAATAAAATAAAAAATTCATCTCCTGAGTAGAAGAAGAAGCTAGCTCTGGCCTAAAGAATCACTATTTACTCCACCAACCCGGTTAGTGTGTTTATGAGTGAGCTCGGGTTAAACAAGATGCCATGCTTCGGGTCACCAACAGTCTCCACGACTCTCTGCAGCAGAGCGGAAGCAACAGTAAGTGTTTTGTTGTTGTGCACATATACACTTGGCAATAAGTGAATGTGAGAGATCAGAATACTAACAACATCGTTGATTCCTTGCTCAGACAATCGTTTGAGATCTACAGTTATTTCCCCATCTTTCGGAACCAAGAGAGTGTTGATGTAATATCCAGGCTGCACACACACACACAAATGATGTTCTTAATCGATAAACACGTCTGACATCAAGAGAGTGTGGATATAGCAAAAAACCACTCACGGGATTTTCGAGCCGAACATTAGGATCTCCATGAGTTCTGTTGAGAGCGTCAGCAATAGCAATCACAAAGCAGGAAGCAGTGAAGCCGCTTGTTTCTCGGTCTTGTGTACCGTTCAACAGAAGCACCTGTAACCGCTAGAAGAAATCAGACTGAACTTCCCATCACTACTGTTCTTGACAAGCCTCAGAGCGTACCTTACGACATGACCTGGAAGAGATAATCTCCCCAACACCAAGCAGAACCTGATGAACAGAAGAAGACCTGTCTATAACAGTTATCCCAAATTTTGTGATCCGCACAAACTTCATTGCAGGTTTTTTACCAGTGATGGGCAAATGGAAGTGAAAAGGGATCCCATAGCGTAAACGATACAGTCCACAGTTCTCAACTGCTCCAAGACAGTTGGGTTAACTGGCGGGAAGACCTATATAATGGACACAACACAATACATTTGCAATGTCAAAACACAAAGAAACGAAGTAGAGAACTTAAAAGATGTGAGTTTCTTTCAAGGGAAGCATAATCACTAGATATTAACCTCATGGAGCAGATTATTTCCTTCACTTGACATGTAAAACACTCTCTTTATCTTCGTTGGAAGAGCGGAATTCGAACAATGTCTCTACTAGAAGAAACATAGAAAGACAATGTAAGAGAGATTTTTTATGACCACAAGTAAACTTAGATCTCATAGCAATTCAATGTAACATGTTAAAACAGAACACCTTGTCAACGGTCTGCATAGTTCCATTGGTTGGGTGAGAGATCTCGTTCTGTCCGCGTATTATAGTCCCATCCTACAAATCAATGTCACAAACAATAAGTTAGCAATCAAGTTTAACACCTGAAATCTTGCTGTCAAGCATATAAACTAGCTGCTGGAATTCAAAGAGAGATTAAGCTTCACACCTGTAACTCACATCCTAGTGTAAGCCTATCATTGGTTGATATCACTGGGAGGACCAAACTGTCGCAAGGGATCTCCGAAACACGTGAAAACAGAAAAATCGCAGCATCTAAAGACTGGAAAAATATCCTTGCTCCTGCGAAGAAGAAGTTCCCAATGCTGCTACAACAAGGATACAATTGAAAGTAAAGGTAACTAGCAAGCAAGAGAGAAAGAAAAACAATACACATGTGAAGCCGAGAATAACATCTTTAATACCTTCCATTACTGAAGCAAAACGTATCATTAGGTCGTCTAAGAATCTGTGTGTGTTTTGTAAGGAATCAAGAAGATGGAAGTGATCAAACATGAACCAACAAAAAAAACATGTTTCTATGTGTATCTGTTAACATTATACCTCATTCTGAAAGTAAACCAAGAAAGCGCGGATTGTTTCTCTGTAGGGTCTTGATACACCTTCCCACAGAGAATGATTACCTTCCACAATATCGTACCTGTCAAAGTTTCCAACTCAGCACACTATGCATATTACAAAATACCCTTCACCATAGTAACTAGCAGTAACCTAGCAAATAAAATGAGAAAGTTTATAGGAAAAAAGAAGTCTAAGTACAGATGAAATTACGCTTGAACAATGAAAATTTCTTTGACAACGAAAAATTTGGAGTATGCAGGTGTTTACATCAATTCCTAATATTCTACATCTTTCCTAATTAACTTGTGTGTGTAAAGAAGATGCTCGATTGTAAACTCCAAGACCTGAATTGTGTAGCTTAAAGAGTAGACTACACAACGAGCAAAACGAAAAGACAGAGTTGTTGGAATAAATTACCAATCTTTCTTGGCCTTATGTGCATCTAAAGGCAAGCGATGTCCGAGCAACCTCCTAACAGCAAGTGCCTCTGAGGTACTTTCATCAGAGAGTCTTAAACATCTCGAACGTATGTCACCAACCGCAGGCCCACCTACATACATAATACCATCCTTAAGATTATTTCTGATAAGAAGCTAAAACTTTGTACGCCATTGTTGGCCAGCCGTAGAAGAACTCACCGAGAACACGAACGATCTCAGCAGTACTTCCTCCATCATCAGAGACAGGAAGAACATGAGCGACTCGGGTTGTTAACTTCTTCAGCTCTTCCACCACACCGTTGAATCCAGTGCCGCCTTCATCGCAACAAAATTAACGTTTTTTTTTTGGATTTCATAATCTCTTTCAGAAACAAATTATTGTGTCTCAGGAACTGCTGATTGGAATCGGATTCAGAAAACTTCGACATTTCAAGTGCCCCTTGATTGACAATTTTATATCAGCTTCAAATTCTCGTAATTAGTCGAAGATCTAACCAAATTGACACTAAAAATCACAACTTTCGGGAGACCCACAAAGCCAGGAAGGAGAAGAAAGTGTGGGTTTTTTTTTTGTTGGGTAACCTGAGAAGACGAGGAGAGAAGGCGGATCCACGGTGGAGGAGGAGGAGTGACATTCGGCTGAAACAGAGGCGGCCATCGGAGAAGATGAATTGTAGTGATGACGTTTGCTGCGGAAAAGAGGATGGAGTGACAGAGGAGACGGAGCCTTATAATGGACCAGACCTCCGAAAAAGCAAATCTCCGCCATTACCGAACCGAAACAGAGTGAATCATCCTCTCTTTTACCCTTTTTGTCAATTTCCAATAGCGTTGGATATTTCTTGTTTCGCAATTGGCCATTATTCACCCAATCGAAATTTTAGGCATCAGAAAAGAAAACCAAAACCGAAAAAAGAAAGTAGTGGTTTAATCGTTTTCTTCCTGGTCCGTCCGATAAATCAAATTAATAAATAGTCTTAGATTGTTGTTTGGTATATTAATATGATTTGTTCGATCAAAACACAAAAATTGTTTGTTTAAGTGCTGATAATTAGTATTGACTCAGACTGAAATTTGGCTGTAACTCAGATCTCAACATTCATACAGTAAATACATTCCTATATATTTTTTTATAATAAAAGGTTTTAAATTCCTATAGTTAACTGGTTTGAGACATATATTCGAGTTCATTCTAGCTAGTGAAAACTTATATTGGTGTCTTTGGGATTTTAAGTGTGTAGTTTAATTGTTTGGGAAGTCGAATCATGAAATATGATATTTATAATATATAAAACGGTGAAATTTTTTTTTATACTGAAATTGAAATTTCTAAAATGTTTCTACTTATAAGTTGTTGTATCTCTAAGATTTGAAATTCTATTCAGTGACCGAAATATGCTTAGTGCTTGTTTAGTACTACTAGCTTATATATTGTTCGTTTACAGCTATAGAACGATCAAAATTAACATTGTTTGAGATCAACATTCATGCAGAGCATATATAATTCAACAATTCAAACTTTTTGTTTAAGAAAAATCAACTCAGGAAAGGACAAGTAAGAATGATTAAAACAAAAAAGTATTTGAGTTGATAGAGTGACATAGGCAGTGTGGAAAGCGAATCAAACACTCCAAATTCTAAATCAATCTAATTTCTAACCCAAAAAAAAAGTATCATCATAACCGCTATAAAGTATGAACACTCAAATTAAGATCACATAAAAATATGAGACCTAATCCCTCGTAACGTAAACCCAATCACATTCTGGTGAAACGGTCTCGACCTCACTAGATTCCTCCTCTTCCTTCACATCCACAAATCCTTCTAACTTGTCCCACACGTCATCTTCATCTTCAACTTCATCTTCATCTTCATCGTCAACATGACAGACTAATGATTCGTTACTTACGTCGCTCACGATTCCATGATTCCGTTCCATCACTTCTTCATCATTATCCCATGATTCTTCTTCTTCTTCGGAAGACTTGTCATCATTCTTCAACAGCTCATAACCACTTCTCCACCTCGAACTCAAACCCTAATCATTAAGATTCAATCAAAGAATAACCAAATCAGCAACTGATCAAAATAACATAAATTTCGTAGTATTATAAGCATGGATATAAAGAGATGTGAAGGACTGCTTCAAACTTACGTCATCTTCTTCACTACGATGATGGTAACTAGGAATATGGCTCGTCGCCAAGGTCCCCAAATTAAGCTCCCACATGTTTTCACAAGATTCCGAAACTTGACTCTCGTCGTCTTCCTCTCCTTCATCATCACCCGATGAATCCCATGACTGACCATCTTCTTCGGAAGGCGTGTCAACATCCTTTGAAAGCTCATGACCACCTTTCCACTTGAAACTCGAAACCTGAAACACAAATATTAAGTCAAAAGACAATGACCAAATTAGATATACTGATTAGAATGACTGAATTCCTTAGTTGACACGAAAGGGTGGTACTCTACTATTCTAGTTTTTGTGAGCGTGGAGATAAAAAGATATGTGAAAGAACTGCTTCAAACTTACACTAGCCGCTTCTTTATGATGATGGTAACAATTAGGGGGATGGCTCGTCGCCGAGGTCTCCAAATTATGCTCCCACAACATGCTTTCACTAGAATCTGAAACTCTACTCTCCTCCTCTTCTTCTTCTTCTTCTTCTTCTTCATCATCATAATCATCATCATCATCATCATAATCATCACAATCATCATCCCCCTGTTGTTGAATCAATCTCTCTGGAATTTTTGAAGCTGCCACGGAAATTAAGATGATACTTGTCCGTCAAGAAACCAAATCAGGGAAACCAAAAAAGACGTTGTATATAGCTACTTTATTTGGAAGTTATATATAATAAAACTACAGAAGACGTACCAGACATAGCCCAGTGTTGGCTCAGTATTTGTTTCGCCTCACCAAGGCGCATAGCCCAGTGTTGAATAGGACCTTCTTTGATCTCAGCGACAGGTTTATCTTGAGACGAGTCTTCCTTACCGGATTTACCATTATTTGGTTGTCCGGTTGTGTCTTGGGTAGGCTGCTCGTCAAGTATGTCTTTGGTTAACTCTGTCCACAGTTCCATACTCTGCATGAACAGAAAACCAAAACCAAATAGAATAAAAGGTATTAGATCTCGGTATACAACTATCTTATATTCTCAACTTATTTTTTCTAAAAACTTTTAAGTATAAAAAATAATAGTCATGAAGTTTCTAATGTGTTAGGCCGTGATTAGGTTTCATGAACCATCTAAAATATCTGATAGAAAACTCGAACTTGTTGACTCGATGTAAAGATTGATCTATGCTTCTTTTTCAATTTCCTTTTCTAGTTCATTCTTATAAGAATCTTTTTTTCTCTTAACTAAGTTTACTAAAGGACACCACCAAAACTGGATAGCTGAAGACTTGAGAAAACCCAAACCACTAATAGATATACTAAACAACAAAAATACATGATGATGCATCAGTTCCTAGCATAAGCTTTGATTTCAATCTAGAGAACCATATACACTTAAAGACTAGGGTATAAAACATCATATAAAGATCAAACCAAAAAATAGAAGAAACGAAAAGATAGAAGAAGGATCAAACCATACCTTTTGTATCGATTTGTCAACTATGGTTAATGCAACTCCGATTTCATCTATCATCAAATCAAACCAGTTGTTATCTTGTACGCCTCCCATCTTCTTCAACTGAACCTGAAAACAGAGTTTAGGGTTTCAAATCCGAAATTCAGTTCTTTAATTCTTAAATTTTAGTTAGCAGTGTAGCTATTTGTCATGAGCAGATCTCCACAACAACAACAAAAAGTTCCTCCTTAATTAATTTTCTAAGCGATCAGAAATTAGATTTCGGGAAACCCTAATCAGATATAGAGCGATGAATGTCTAAAAAGCTGTACAATCGCTAAGAGAAAACTTACGATCGAAAAACGAAACCAGGCGATCAAGGACGAAGTTGTAAGAATTTTTGCTTTAAATGAATTTGGAGAGATAGATCAGAACACGGAAGCTATATATCCGGGTAACAAAAAGATCGCTGTTTAGAGGTCTTATAAGTTTATAAATTGTATTTGTTTTTTTCAATTTTATAAGAGTTTCTGATTCCTAATATTGTAGAGTTTATGATTCCTATACACATTGGAATTCCAATATGTACTGTGATTATTTTGTTTTCGTAACTATATTAACCAGTATAACTTCCTTTTTACAAATTAAACAAAAATAAATCCACTTGGTTATCTCAGATTTGTTTTACAAAATTATCATACTACAAACAGAAGATTCTTAAATTTCCGGTATGTTTGACACCCAAAAAAAAAAGATTTACTATAAATCCATATTTAAATTATTTTATACATGTGATGCTAAATATATGCATATGTTGTCGAAAAAATATTATGAACTGGTTCACTAGAATAGAAGGCAATTCTTATGCATGAGAGATGAGACTGCCTTTGTTGATACCTTAAATCGGAAAATGCAATTTGGTCAAAAACTAAAAGAAAATAAAGGAAGAAGTTACTTTTAAAAAAGAACAAAAAAAGTTATGTTAAAAACTGGATGATCTCGAGTTATTATAAATTATATACAAGTCTCTAGTATACCAAATCTAGAGTTAGATCAGATATGTCCGGTCATTTTGGATTGATTTTGATGCTACCCATTGGGTTTGTTTTTTAATCTTTTATTTGTGTTGCTATTAAAAATACTAAAAGAGTGACGCAACCTACTAATCTACATCAAATCAAAGCATACGAATGATACGAATCCTAGTGACAAATAGTGAAGAAATTTCTCTTGTGTACTATAGAGAGACTAGAGAGTAATAAAAGAAAGTACTAATAGATTCGATTGATTGACAAATGACAAATTAACTATCTTGCCAGCCTGTATATACCCAATTCACCACGTTTTTCAACGGGTTTAATGCAAAACCACTCAACCCCAAACCAAAACAAAATTCCAAAATATAATAAAAATAAATATTAATCAACACGATTGACCGTCGGAATAGCACCGGAGCCGCTTTAGAGGAAAATCATGCCGGTAACCACCGTGACCGGCGGCTGCGGCTTGCCACTCCCCGACGAGCAAGCCATTAATAAGCTCGACCTGGTGAACCCCATTTCCATCTCCAAGCATACCGACGACGACACGTCCCGGTGGTTTAGATTTCCGACGACCGGCGCCGACGGGAACGTTCCGGAGTGCACCACCGGCGGTCCAGTAACGGTGGCAGCCTCTGCAAAAGTGTCGAGGCTGGTTAACGTTGTAGTTGTTAAAGTAACAGAACTTTGTCTCCATGCTCTTGCATCTAGGACATGCTATGATCTTGTCCGGACGCTTCTCCGCCGTCAGATCCGACGTTGATGATGATGATCTAACGGCTGTGATGGCCTCCTGCTCCGGTAATTGTTTCTCTTCTTCTTTTTTCATTGTCTGAGTGATACAGCTGACGCTAAATGCAATGGTTTTGCCAAAGAGTTTAATCCCCTGAGAATCTTGTGTCGCCATGAGAGAGGAAGATAGCTTACTAAAAATATGTTGCAGCGAAGAAAGAGAGATGACTTCTTTTTATAGGAAGATGATAAAAACTTGTTAGCAGAAATGGTGAAGAAAAGGAGATAAAAGCGACTGAAACTAGTGGGGGATTAAAATAACTATTGTTTAAAAAAATTAAGCATATATTAGGCGCATTTATCGCTTTATTTTGTTTTATTTTTGGTATACACGTAAAACATAACAACAAGTACAGATCAAGCTACAAACCAATTAAAAAAGTTATTAATTTTTTAAAAAGCGGGGATGTAACAAGAAACACGTAAAATATTAGAGCGCAGAAGTCTTATCAACAAGTTTTCCCTTTTATTTGCAAACTTTTACTCTATTTAAAGTTTTAAAACCTATGCACGCATTTGTACAAAATAAATGAATCATGTAATAGGTTTTAGACTAATGAACAGTTGAACATGATCCAACTACAGTAAGCTCAATTATTTGTGATTTGTTGATAGATTACCAAGTATTAATTCTCTCTGTTACACAAAAAGCCTTATTCTATATTTTTACATACACATTAATGAAAACTATCAAAATGTCATAAAAAACCCGGCGGTAAAATAACGAAAATGTAATAACGAATGTGGTATGACTTTTGTACACTAGTAGTTGACGGATTTGATAATGATTTCACAGTGCACGAGTTACGAGTTCAACCTTTCTAACACTTTAATAAATAATCTTACTATTATCAGATCTACTATTATTATTAGGTTTGAAGTAATGCAACTCTCTAGATACCTGGGAGTGGGAGTCTTGCCCCATACATATTTACCTTTCAAAATTGGATGTGTGTCAGTGTCTGTGTATATATATAGATATATCGAAACACGAGTTATAACTTATAAGTAAATATTAGTAATAAATAATAATATACTGATCTTTAGGATGGATTCATTGAATAGAAGAGCAGTTATATCAATTTCGTCATTAATTCATATTGTTTTTTCAATTGATTCATCGATATATATGATTGAAAGAAGGATTATTTTAAATGGAAATTGCTTTCAGAAAAGATAAAGCTAAGCAAAGCGCTTTCCTGAAAGTATGCCACTTTCAATTAACCTATTAATCCCATATTCAGTTGACGTAAATCTTATTCAAAACTAAGGAAAGTTTTAGAAATGAAAGGAAAAGAAAAAGAAAAAGAAAGCATTGATCGACGTTCATCTCTCTTTTTCCCTTTAAATTGTAGTATGTCTTTTTAATAATTGTAACGGATGAGCCACGTCAAATGGTTTTGTTATTTGTGACTAATTAAGATGTATATAAACAGTAGTTATTTGGCTTCAAATTCCATATATACGTGGAGAACTTGATCCAGTGATATGTATTATACCTAAACAATATAAAATCATTTGATCTTATAGATCAAGTTCTCCACGTCAAATGTTTGTGAACTTGCTATAATATGTATTATAAAACGAATAAGAACAAAGAATATGACGACTCTATGCAATTAGTTTAACATATTTGATCACTGTTTTTCTTTTACCTATAACTTCATCCTTTAACATGATTTTTCCACAGCTTTACCACTAAAAACTTTATATCGCTTTGCGTAACCAATTGTATCCATCGTTGAAATGTCTAGTGAGATTGTAAAGGAACTTTCTTTTCTTCTTTTTCCGTCGTCACAATCCCAAATGTTTATTTTCTAAAAAGTGAACTTTTAGAAAGTAATATAAACAAAGACAGAATCTTTATTCTTTTTAGAAACTTAAAAGAACACAAAAGCGAATTTCACGGCTTAGGGTTTCGAGTACTTGTATTTGTATATGGATTATTTTTCCTAGATCTCATTTTTTTTTGCCAACTCACGTTTTCATGTATATAACTAAATAAAAACCGTATTCCTTTAGTTTTTCTTGTTCTTCTTTTGTTTTGTTTCTGTAGTAGTTTATTCTGATTTGCTTCAACAAACAATAACAAGTCGACAGCTAACATCAAACCTTTTCGATAGGACTTATTTAATTAAAAGGGATTAGAAGGAAACGATATCCTAATCCCATGTTGTTATCCAAACACGGTTGAGTAAAAGACACTAAATGTATTGATTTGTCCCCAAATTGTAGTATGGTGATTGACGTTAATTCTCTCGAGACTCATCAGAAGAAACATATTCTATATAGTTATTTTTATTTTGTAGAACCTATTTTTTATAGTTGAAGATACAGATATAAAACGTACGACAAAATCGACCTATATATCTACCACACAATAGCGTAACATATAAGAAACGGAATGAATGTGGTGTTCTATAATATTAGTGAATTGCACTCGGTGTCACGTGTCGCTATCGCTCCATGTATCGCTTTCGCCATCTCCATCGTCGCTTGCTACAGCCTGAGACCACAAGTGCGAAATGTTAATGCTTTTAAGAACAAAAATGGTACTTGCAAGAGATCAAAATGTAAATGCTTGAAACCTGTCGGATGGAGTTTGCCTTCTCTAGAATCACGCTGAAATTGGTGTTCATCGTAGCTTCCGATGATGATGTCTTTGTCGTGACCACACGTCTCAAGTTGAATTGCTGTTATAATGATTCAAAAGGATGTTGTTGGATACCATAATGCAAATTCTATATGAGGTTACTTTGTAGTAACGAAAATTACAAATATATCTTAAGTGAGAATTCTATTTCTTTATATTTTATAGTATTACTCATGATTATGCTAATAATAATTTTGTGAATACATTTCCGTATGGAACAAGAATTTTGAGATGAAACTCGAAATTTTGCTCAGATATAAGAAATAAATAAAGAATGAAAGACTCACTTTTGTTCGGATTTGATGCAAAAAGTCTCCAGCTTCAGTCTCTTTTGCATTGCCATGATTTTGCTTATAATCCCTCACATCATTCTTCTGATGCACCTATGAATCACCACACGAAACTCTTTTATGCTGAAAAGACTAAAAACATCGAGAAAAGAGTAGAAAACTTTAGATTCTACATACCTTGTTTTCTAGTTTAGGAACAGAAGCAGTGACAGTGTTTGGTTCTTCTTTCTTGACTGTAGATAAAGAACTGTTCTGCTCAAATGTGCGTATGAGAGTGTCCTTTAGAGACTCCCTGTTGTGATCCTCGAATCTCCCCGACGGTATCTTCGAAACCATCCACTGTAACGGTGGGAGAGGCGGTGGTAAAGGCTCAGCTGGATTTTGGAGGTAAGAGAGATTTCCAGCTAGATAACCATTTGATGTTGTTTCAGTCTTTGAAGATGGAGCTGAGAGAGAAGAAGCTTCAGCATTGAATCTATGAAACGAATCATAAATCCCTTGTTGGCTCTTTCTTTCACGGATTTCGCCTGGTTCTTCTTCCCACTGCTGCTCAGAGTCTGACACAGAGTGATCGTCGCTGTTATCTGAAACGTAAGAAGAGGATCTACAGAAAGTGTCCTTGTCTGAATCAGAATCAGGAAGTGAAGCAGCATTAGTCTCTGGCACCAACTGAAAAGAAGAAAACGTATATTCTTCTGGAAGTTTCAGCTTCAGTTCGGAACTCGGCAAGGTTTCCGAGGGTTTGAAAGATATTTTCATGTGATCAAGTGGAGGAGATGAAGTAAACCAGTCAAAAGCAGCCTTATCAGCTTCTCTCAAGGGATCTTCGAAGGAGGTTTCATCATCAACGTCTTCATCATTCTCTGGGATGGTTTCTGCTACAATCTTCGGTTTCGATGGTTTCAGTCCCAGCAGATTTCCATTAGTCCATAGCTTAGCCGCCTCTTCGGTGTCACAAGAAGCCTCATCTTCTGAATCTTGATGTTCTTGGATACCATTAGTATCATCATCATACAGTGGATTTGAGAAGCCATTGGAATAACTATGAGTACCATTGCTTATATCTGAACCCGCCCATGGATCTCGATGAGAAAGTTCATCAGGTTTATCCACCGGTGATGATGATAAATGTAGACCTGATGCAGCAGCACATATTGTCTCATCATCATCATCATCACTAAAGTTGTTAGATATCTTCTCTGTTTCTTTCTCACACACAAAGTCATCCAACTTTTCTTCTGTAATCTCATTTGAAATCTTCCTCTGCACTTCTTCAGTAACTTGGTACCCTTGATCATTTTCAGATTCTGAATCGATGGTGTAAAGTGCATCAACAAAATCGTCCCCTTCGCTTTCAGTTTCATCTTCACTGTCCATTTCCATTTCCCTCGGTTTGATATCTTGGACAACAGGTTCAAACTCTGTATGTTCTTTCAGTCTTGATACAGTTTCAGCATCCACAACAGAGCTAGTCTCCATCACTTCAGGACATTCATCTTTTGGACACTGCAGAGCATCGGTTTCCACTATCTCAGCTTTCTCGTGCCAGCTAACGCAAGAAGAGCCACGAGCTGTTAGATCTTGAGAAGGACTATCATTTGCATCTTCACTTTCGCTTTCAGAGAGAACTGAAGCAATGGTCCGAGGAACCTGTGTAAGCCTTGAAGAAGTGTATACACCCTTCAGCTTCTCCCCACCACTTCTGGAATCGAAAGAGCAAGAACGATGATCTTGCAAGTCTGATTTCGATTCGGTTTCAACCGTTGAGGCAGTTTTTGAGCAAGAGGTTCTTCCACTGAAGCTTAAAGAAGCAAATGTCTTCCTGAAAACCATATTAATGTTCATATTCTGAGTTATGTATATACAAAACACATCTCAGCAATGTCAAATCCACAAATGTATCTTTTTACCTGTCACTCTGGTTAGCCAATGAGGCAACACGTGAGACATCTCGACTCCGTGGGAGTGATTTCTTCTTCTGTTTCGTGCATACAAGTTTAAGTAATCAGAATGATAATCGTTAAGAAGAAGAATCTATACGAAAATATGATTCAACCTCCAAAAACAAACCTTCATTTCAGGAAGTTTAGAAGCTCTTGATGCTCTTTTAAAAAGAGTAGGATCGGAGTATCGCTTCACACAAGACCCTGGACCATTTATATCAAATCTGAAGAAAACAACAAAGCATCAGCAACACATTTATAAACAGTTTGTAATGATACCAACAAAAAAAAAAGAGTTAAAGCATATTATATACTTGTCTAGCAAGTGCAGATGCGGAGGATCTCGGCTATCTTCATATGGAGACATGATAAACTGTGGCAAGTCATCGTAAATAAAGTGATTTTGCACATTTGGTAAACGAGGATGCCACTCTAGACCTGAAACATCATGTGAAACTCAATTGATTTCACTATACTTTTAAGGATGCTACACCAAATAAACTCAATATGATTAATTATTCCACATAAAGTCTACTCCTTTTCTAAGTATCTTTTCTACTGCTTCAGTGGTTCCCAACAACCACTGAGATAAACCAACTCAAAGTATCTATTACTAAAAATAATTTTTTATCTATAGATCCAAAAGGAACAGAGTTAGTAAGCTTTCATCATGTGATTGTGATCTAAGATTACTATCATCATTACCAAATTCTAAACACAAAAGAGTATTTTAAGTAAAAAGAAGTTAATGAAAAGGCATGTGAGTATGGGCCTACATTCAACTCTCAGAGGATATACTTTTGTTTTTAGAGAACACATGTGGAGGCTAAACAAGAATCAAACAGCTTGAATCTAGACAATAAAGAAGATTGACAAGAGAAACAAGACAAAAGAAGAAGCAGAAAAAAAAAAAACACACCTCCACTGTATGCAAAGTGTATGTGGTTTGTTTGTGCAAGCACTGTCTTGTGAATTGAAGGCACTGTAGCTTCTATCTGCTTCAGTCTCATCTTCAACTTATTGCTTCTTGAAGCTGTAATCATAACCTCTTCTTGTATTCCATGAAATATCTCTGTCGCAAACCTGAAAGGCATATAAAATTACCGATTAAGAAGATTTGATCAGAACCCATAAACTAAGTAAATGAAGAAGACCAGAAACAGCGATCTTTCACTTAGACTCAGATCACATTTAAGTAATTAACTCAATTATAAAGAAAAATTAAAAAAAAAAAAAAAGAGGAAACAGAGAGTTTGGGGTTGACTTAAAGACTTACTCGGTGAGATCACCGAGTTGACGCAAGATCCCAACGAGTCCAGAAACGGCGACGCCGTCGAGAATCGCTTTGGTGTCTTCACGATCGACGTTTCCGTGAAGATCCTTTTGACCTAAACCGTAAACATTCCTCACTTGAAGCCTAACAAGCGGCATTTGCTCTGTTCACAAACTGTTCTTCAAATTTCCGGAGAAATATAATCAAATGGGTTTCGAGGATTAGAGAGAAAGATTCAATTTTTTCTTAGTTTCTGGGGTTTCTTCTTGAAGTGGGTGAGATTGCGGCAGCTTAACCGCCGAAAAAGAGAGAGGGAAAAATTTGGAGGTTAAAGAAGCTCTTTGGTGTAAAGAGAAAGAGACTGTAGGGGAGAGACATTGCCAACACTGCAAGCCATTCCCTTTCCAATTTTAAATTTAACAGGATCAAACAAAACAAGTGGAAAAGACAAAATCACCCTTTAGTTTTATCGAGTATTTACGAAAAGGGAAGAAGGACAAATCATGTCTTCGAAAAGATTAGTGTCTTTATGAATGTGAATACGTGTGAGATGTTATTACTTGAAGAATGGGAGAAGAAGAAATGTCAAATAGAAATGCGTTAAAAGTTTGGATCATTGAATTTTTTTGGTCGTTTGTAAAGAAATAGGCTTGTTGGGTTGGCTACATATTTATTGTGAGGAACAAAACTTCTATAAATGGAATATACCTACCTACATACACGAACACGATGCAACAAAAGTTTGAAAATAATAACTAATCTAAAGTACGATTTTACAGCTTGTTGTTCTAAAATTTAAAGTCAGCCTTCTCGGATCCTAAATCGATTCCTCGACTAACTAGTAACTACAGTTCAAGTTATATTATGTAACGATTGCATGATAGCTTTCATCGATCTACGTACGTGCATAGAGTGTGTGCGTGAACACATTCTTAAATCTCTATATCGTACACTTCGAGATTCACACATGCATGTGGATGTGTGACCCCCTCCACGTTTATAATTATAAGTATTATGTATTTCCACAATGAAATCATCCACAAGGGTATGTAGATCCGTGCTTCTGGACTTTTTAGGATCTCACTCCCATCAACCAAAGCAACACATTAACTCAGAGCTCCTTTTGTCGTGTTCCCAAACATTAATATTTTATACTAATAGCAGTAATTACTTAATACATAGTGTATGGATCAAAGATATATATGCAGTAGAAATAATCAAATTCTATCGTCACTATATGTACAGTTTTTATAATATATAAAATCAATTCTATCGTCCTTGGTAGGTATGGTATTAATTAAAATAAACAAGTGAGTGAAGCGAGTAGATCTATCCATGCATGACTTTTAGTCATAGTCGTTTATTTATGGATGCTACCTAATCATAAATTTAATCTCATTTCATATCATTTATCATATACAATTCGAATTTGTCCTGGCCATATTGTTCTTGCTTATGAATAATTGTTTAATCATTATGTAATTCAGAACTGTTAGATTGCCTCATTTTTCAAGCAGATTCTAACAAGATTTACTATTATTTCCCACCATGTTAATCAGAAGTTAGCAACTTTTCAAAGTATATGGCCATCAAGAAAATGACTAATTGGTAATGGTTTAAAAAAAGTATTACAAAAGAGCTAAAAAATCAAATCTTTGTAATATGAGATGGGGTCTGAAACTTTTATAAGAATCATGATGTCGAATTCGTTATCAACATTAATTTTATTGTTGAATAGAGGATAATTCACCGGTAGTAACAATCATCAGCGGTCCATAACCTTATCATTGTATTAAAATTCGTCATGAATAACTCTTTCAAGATAAACCAAACGAACATTGCATGGTATGATCAAACCAAATTAAATATCTCAATGTCACGGTATTCTTCTAAATCTCATTATGTACTTTAAAAAGAGATCGAATCACTTTATTGTGCATTAGCATGCATACACACACCTAACATTTCTCTTATATTATTAATTTAATTTGCTGTATATAATTCACACACACATTAATTCTCAAATCGGAAATTGATTATAACCCATGGGCGTTATCATTACAAACTATTATGCTATAAATTCTGATCGCATTCTCGTATTATCTGTTAAGGAAAAGATTACATATACAATATATGTATGCGTAAAATTAAACGAGAATAGGTTCTAAACTTTCAATGCCATCGATGGCATCAATGCGTTGTTTTAGATGAAACGTGAGTACAATGCCGGACGAAGACATGATTATCACATCCTAACCATATATCGCATTATCACTAGTATGATATTAGTTTTTCTTGTCAAATATGATATTAATTTTATTAGATCTATGGCAGTTAATTTCGATCAGTTTTCTAATATGTTATATATATAGTCAGAATCCAACTCATTGACTTGGCAATTGGCTGGCTGATAATTTATTGACAGTTCAAGAGAAGGGTATTGATCTGAAGCAATAGTATATTGACATATCTAGAATCTATTAGTCATTTCTTAATCAGATTGCATGTTTATAGATTTATATTTAAATGAAAATATATAAAATAAACCAGATCACAAGTACTTCATATATTGATTAAAATGGAAATTATCAAGCTGGAATAGCTATGTATATAGCACGAAACTGAACTATACTCTTATAGGACCCATCACCCAATCTATGATCCATCACAGGCTTTTAATTTTATTTTGAGCCCTTCATGTTGATGGACCACACTCTTGGCATGGTTGTAGATAATGTTCTAGTGATAGTCCATACCCCATTTAACACCAAACACTCCTTAAAGCTAAGATCCAAAACCCAATACAAAGGCATCATAGCAGCAACAAATAAATAACAAATGGAACAAAGAGTTTAAATTCTAAGTGAACCGAGAAACATAAACTTAAGAGTGACCTTTCACCAAGTAAAAGAGCTACTAGCTTACACCTAAGAAACAAAGGCCTCATAATTTCCTCGCAATGACTTGAATTGATACTCATAAACAACATGTGACATTGTGACTAAAGCCTCTACAACCTTAAAATGAAAAGGATAAATCGAATCCATCATCTTATATGCATTCATCATAGGATAGGAAACAAGTTAATTAGATTTTGGGGGTAAAATGTTAATGTTTTTTTTTTAATTGACTTATGCTAGTTACTTACTTATTTACTTGATTTTTTTTTTTTAAATGTTAATTGTTTTCTTCACAAATTAAAAAGCCAACAACCCGATTGACTAACCGGGTCGACCCGGATTATGAGTAAGGAGATTTGGGTCACACAATTCCCAAGCCTCTCTCTCTCTCTCTCTGTTCTGCTAATTTGATTTACTCGTCCCCTTGCATCGAGAAAAATTAGGGTTACGGATTCCGAATTAGCTTCAATGGAAGAGATCACAGATGGAGTGAACAACATGAACTTGGCCGTTGATTCCCAGAAGAAGAACCGGATTCAGGTTTCCAACACCAAGAAACCATTGTTCTTCTACGTCAATCTCGCCAAGGTACGCACTTTTATCTCGATTGCTATGGGACTCGTCGTTAAAGCTTGAAAATTCTAGACTCGACGATCTTTCTCGATCGAGGATATTACTATGTTGCTCTTTATCCACTCAAACGGCTCAATTTGTATTGAAAATCTCTGTACTTTAGTTGTCATGTGGGAATCGCAAAGGTTTCAGTTTTGACTGAGTGTGTTGATGTGGTTATTCACTTCTGTTCTAGGATCTGTCAATGGGCTATTTTCAGAGATTGATGCAACTGGGTTTTGTTGTTGATGACCTTTTGTTTTGGTTTTGTTTCAGAGGTATATGCAGCAATACAATGATGTCGAATTGTCTGCTCTTGGAATGGGTATGTATGTTCAGTGTTCTTATTGTCTCGTTTATATGCTCTTCTGTATACATCGGGACTGTAATTGCGTTTTTGTAGCTGTAAATTTAAGCTTTAAGCAGTTAAGCAGTCTGCGATGAACATAAAAGAAGAAAGAATAGGTTTTTGGTATTGCCTTACATACTAATTAAGTGTCTCTTCAACATGAAAATGTGCAGCCATTGCAACCGTTGTTACTGTTGCTGAAATACTGAAGAACAACGGTTTTGCTGTTGAAAAGAGTAAGTTATCTTAATAGTCTGAATTAGCAAATTCTGAATTGATATTGAAGTCATGATATTTCGCGACTAAGCTTTGTTTCGGAAAAATGGTGTGTTCATCTATATAGAGATCATGACTTCAACTGTGGACATTAAGGATGACTCTAGGGGACGTCCTGTGCAGAAAGCCAAGGTAGTTTTTTCTTGAACAAACTGAGTTTTGTATGATTGTGATCGACCTCTTTCTTGAGTTATCAATTTGTTTTTCTTTGGGTTTTTTTGGTCTGGTAGATTGAAATAACGCTTGGGAAGTCGGAGAAGTTTGATGAACTAATGGCTGCAGCCAATGAAGAAAAAGAAGCAGCAGAAGCAGCAGAAGCTCAGGTGCAGAGCTGAACATAAGCCTTTTTTTGATATTTGGTTTTCATGGTCTTCTTCTCTCGTCTTGATGCTTACATATTTGAAAAGGGCTTTGATTTGTTTTATTTCATTAATTTTTGGCTGAATATGAGTTGTTATCATGGATGGTTTCTTGTACCTGTTTAACACTTTACAATACTTGATATGAAGATCATACCAAAATATTATGGGTTCTTCACACAAAAGAGAAAAAAAGGAAAAACAAGTGGGAAAAAAAAGATGCAAAGTACAATCTGTTATGATATAAAGTTGTATCTCTTTTAGCGTAAGGTGCAAAATAAGTAGTTAGGTGAAAAAGAAAAAAAAATGAAAATTGATCTGTCACATTATACTATATCTCTAGAAATGGTTGAGAACGGTCTGAATAATTAGGAATTTCGGAGTTTATTTTAATTTATAGTCTCAAATTGGGAATGGAAAACATTCAGACAAGCCTCTCGTGACTTTTTCTTTTTCCCTTTTTTATTCTTCAATTCCATCTCTTCGTCTCCTTCATCTTCACGGCACAAAAATGTACACAAAACCAAAAGCTTACTCTTATCTTTCTTTTTCTCTCTGTCTCTCTCTCTCTCTCTCATGATGCCTTTGTGATTACTCATTCTCAATCTTAAGTGTCGCCTCCTTTCTCTTCTCACTCACACAGTCTCTCGGTGCAGAGAAGAAACGATTGAAGAAGCTGTTATCTCCATCTCTCCGGTATAAGTTTCCCAATGTATGATTTTCATATCGCGTTCTTGGTTTTTCTTTTTGTTTTCATGGAATGTGAAACGGATTCGTCCTTGCATGAGATTATTTTTTGAAATTAAAGTATGGTTTAGCGGCGCTTATATAATTAACATTTAATTAAAGTTTCTAGTAAAAAGTCCATTCACAGGTCTTTTCTTTTTGTAAGTTTTTCCACCTTCTACTCAGATTTGTCGTTGGTTCATGTGTGTCAGTGTGTATAATTATTTAACTAATCAACTAATCTTATACAAATGGAATCTGATTTTACTCCTAACTTATTTATTTCTGTTTCATTTTTTCTTTTCAGATCTGTTTTGGAAAACTGTGAACATCATTTAAGTTTGAAGAGAAATATGTTGGTGTTGAGTCAACATTTGAGCTTCATCGATCTCTGAGCTTTTACTAACGGCTTTGGTTGGTTCTCGTGCACATTTCTATGGCGGAGAAAAAACTTAACTTTGATGCACCTCTTCTTTCCACAAGGCGTATGAAGAAAGAAGCAGTGTCTGTGCGCACAAACATGGCAAAGAAGCTTACTGATGATGACTCCAACACAAGTGAATCCCTTTCTGTTCCTGTTCTTGTCCAAGACATGAGCTTAAATCAGGTTCCGGAATCTGCCTCTGTTCCGTTCAAATGTCCCTTGGAGAAAGCCATTGATGGAAACCTCACAAGACAACAGAGTTCAAAGGGTAAACAGGTTGAAGAAGAAGAAGAAGAAGAAAGTGAAGCTGATGATGATGATGTCTTCTCTGATGCCGTTGATACATTGTCTCTCAAGCTTAGCCTAGATGATGGTGATGTTGAAGCAACAACGCCGCCAATATCATCCGAGGTTTCTCAGTCGTCTCGGGATTTCATGCTGAATCGTTTCTTACCCGCCGCGAAATCCATGACTGTGGTGGAGCAACAACCTCAATACGCTTTGAAGCGACAACAAATCCCAGTCATGTCTGAACCAATGAGACAAATCAGAGATATAGTACCAGCGGAGAACCGTGCAACTCCTAAGAGGTATGAGTATAATACCACTCCATCTTATTATCATGGCATAGACGATGAAGAAAGCGATGAAGATGATGATGACGACGATGAAGCTTCTGAGTATCTTTCTAGGAGAGGCTGTGGTATGTCACCACAAGTGTGCTTTAAAAATTCACTTGGTATGTTGAGCTCAGTGCATGGCCTTAAAGAGAAACCTTACTCCCAAAGAACCTCAAGCCATGATCAAGTGAAGTCAAGCAAGGTCGCTCAGCTCAAATCTCGGTTTCAATCTGTGAAAAAGGTTTCTTTCTCAATCCCATCCATTTCCTTTTCACTTCTTTTTAGCATCATAATGATCTCATCAGACGCTCACTGAAATATCAATCAAATCTTGTTATGTTTTTCAGCTCGCTCTTGATTACAAGCAAAAGTTGGGAAGCAAAGGTCAATCTCCAGTACACCCTAGTGTTGGGAAGAAGTTTAACTTTGGATCTGAACAATTTGAATCAAACCTGAGTACTGCAAGTATGCCATCATCTCCTTACAGACAAATTGGCTCTATGTCACCGTATCGCAGTGTAGGAAGCTGTTCCCCTCTTCACCCTGCGGGTTTCCCAGGGACTCGTAAAGAAGCAGAGATTATGAGAGCTAATAGGTTGAACAAGCATATCAGAAACACACGCAAGTCTCAGGACTTGCTCTATCCAAAAAGCACAAGACTTGACTGTTCTACAAGCTCTGTCATGGAAAAGACATTATATGTTGACACAGAGAATTCTCCAAAGACCAGCAACGATGAGGGTAACCCACATGTCAAGATCTTGCTAGAAACCATGGAAACAATTTCAGAGGAACCAGAAACGGCAGGAAACAAACCGAAAGCCATTCTAGAGCTTGAAGATGTAGACACTCTTAATATCAGCAGTGGAATCAAGAAGATGGAGGCAGATGAGTTGGAAAAGAACAACAGTGGCTGTGCTCTGTCTCATCTTGCTCCGCCGCCACCCAAAAAGCCTTCTGATTCTTGGCTTTTGCGTAACCTTCCTTCAGTAAGCTCGAAGATCCCTTCACGGAGATACCTGTTTCGTCCCACAAAAAAGGATCTCGAAGATAACTCCACAAGTTTGACCAAATGGGAAACTATAGTCAAGACTTCTTGTATGCACAGAGATCATATACGCTATTCCGAAGTAAGCATCTCAAATTTTCCCCTAGGAGATACAGAAACACACTAATTAAGGCGATAATCCTCACTATATTTTTCGCAGGAATTGGTTGCTCGTTCATCTTTTCAATCCACAACTTAACCGTTTGAAGCTTCCCAAGATCTGACCCCTTGGGATCATCAGGTTGAAGTCTGAATCAGCTCAAGTTCTTTTGTGAGCCTTACAACACTTAACCCGTAATCCCACAGATTGGTTTACATGTGTAGCCATACTTCCATATCAGTCAGTTGTCTACCTAACTATTAATAAGAAGAACCTTTGTTCCCAGTAAATGCTATGTTCATATTTCTTTGAAACAGTTTCGTCTTTGGGATAAGAAAAAATTCAAGAAACCATGTAATAAATTTATCAAAATACTTTCAAAAAACTTACTTCATTACCTTTGTCTGTTACAAAGATTTGTACACAACTGAAACTAAGATTCCACAAGATAAAGTAAAGCTTGTGAATTTAACGATGACCCTCATGAGAACGATCACGATAATCTTTGTCAACAACATCATCATAATCATCAAGAATGAGTGTAACGCCATTGTTCCTCAGGGAGTTAATAACAGCCCATACCTTGGTCCGACTCTTGAACCCTTTCTTTTCGATTTCTTTCTTGACATCTGCGTGGATGCCTCTTCCTTGCCCATCTTGCAGCCCTTCGACTTTCAGCCTCATGGCCAAAACCTCTCCGACAATAGCAGCTGCCTTGGCATTGCAAGTACGGCCACACTCGAGTGAGTTCTTGATAGCGTGTTCTACTGTTGAAGCTGTCGTCACGACTGTCCCGTTGTTTCTGTCCACCACGTTTGCTGTTATGTACTTGATCGACATGAACAGCCTTAGGACATACCTTTTGAGAACTGTCATTATTGCTTCTACCAAAACCTGTTTGATTCTGGAAAGTGCACAAGAAACCCCAACATTGTAAGCACTGGTAAATAACAAGAAAATCGGATTTCGCTAAAAAATGTCAGAGACGAAGTGAAAATGGAGCAACTCGATTCAATTTCTAGATCAGAGTCCCCTCATTGAGGCAAATGATCGAACAGGTTGCGTGCATACAATACAAACTCTGAAAATACAAAAGAATGAACTAATGAAGCGCTAAAAATTTAAAACCTTGGAAGCTACGAGAGAATGACCGTTGGAGTAAATCTCCTGTTGTCTCAGATAATTATGGCAGATGGATTGGTCAGAGAAATGAAAAGCAAAGAAGAAGCCCCAGGAGAACGAGAACGACCAAAAGCACAAAAACCTCTTTTTTTTTTAACTTCCGATAATTTTCTTGTTTCGGATAAGTAATTGGTAAAATCGGTGGAACGGCGGAACGGTGAAAAAAGGCAAAAACGTAATAATTTTACCAATCAGAAAAAATCTGCAGAAAAAAATAAAAAAGCAAAATTTACGAAATTGCGTTTTTGCTTACCAAAAATATAAAAGAATTTTTTTTTTATTAAACAGAAAAGTGTGTTTGAAGTAGATAATTTGTAAAATCAATGTTTATATTATTTAATTATATAACTAATTATATTTTATTATTTAAATAAATTTAAATAAATAATTCAGTGTTACAAAAAATTATATAATGATAAAGTTATACAAGGTTTGCATTATTTTTAAATTTTTATATACTTTTTTTATTTTGAAAAACAAATTATTAAAAAAATACAATAAAACTTATATTATTATATAATAGTTGATTGAATTATTAATATTTTATTTTTTTAGAATATATAGTAATTTTTTTTTAAAATAATCATATTCTGCTATTCTGCCATTCTGCATAATTTATCCAATTGTGTTAAAAAGATATATTTCTCAATTCTGCAATAAGTCATTCTGCAATTTTTTTTCCGCTATTCCGTAATTCCGCAATAAGAAAATCGTGTTACCAATCGTGTTATGGCCAATAAGAAAAATATAAAACTGGGGTTACTTAATCCACTTTTCGATTTAATTTTGATTTAAATGATTTGATTTTTTCGGATTAGAAGAGATATGTATAATAAACCATATTATTAATACGAGAGTTACACGGTTTACTCCGACAAAAAAATGTGTTTCTTTTATTTTATTGTTTTGATTTTTGTTTCTTTTTGAATTTGTATATACAGTCAGATTCGGAACAACAAAATAAAAGTCAATATTTTGAATTGAATGCCCTTATTACCCACACATGTTTTTGTTTTGACGAAATACATGTTCATCCCAAAAAACCATATACATTCCAAAAAAACTAAAAAAAAATTATAAAATCCAGTATATATATAGTCCAAACAAAATTTTATCAATCTCGTACAGCCGAAAAGGCAAAGCTGAATATTTTATGTATTACTAGCTTTTTATATTAAATATAATATAGTTACAGAGGTATAGAGTAAATCATAAGAGGGGAAAATAATTATGAAAACATTCACATTCCCCAGTTATGAACACATACACATACATGACCAGTATTGGTGTCTTCATTAGTACATCTGCAACGAGGATAGAATGGATCATTAACTTCAACTACGCATTGCATGCTTGAATTATCATCGCATAGGCCCGGAAAGCTTTGCAGTGTTTCAAAAAGTTTATCTGCCTCAACTATATAACAACCATAAAAGATTAGATGGTAGATAAATCGTATTGTATAAATAATTGATAATACAACCATTAATATTTTACAAGCTTTTTTAAATTTTTTTTTGTTTTATCTCAATATTTTCATATTATGCAAATAACCAATCAAAATAACCTGTAATATGATCCATAACTAAAAACGTAAGAACACAAACAACCACAAACAAAATAATAGACCTCATTGCAAAAATTGATATAAGAGTGTTTATATCTCTTACAACAAATATTTGTTTATCTCACATAATTTTTTTTTATCAATATATAGGCACAACAAACACTAAAATATTTATTACCTTTTGCTCAAAATAGGTAAGTAATATTATATTCCCTATTATATATATTACAAAATAATTAATTACTTATCTAAGAAATAAAACAAAAATATTTAATACTAAATTTATCTAAATAAAATAAACACAATCTTAGTTACATTTCACTATGATTGTGTTTATTTTTTCTAAGTAAATATTCTTATAAATAAATTTATTCATTAAAAATTCAACAAAAATATAAATAAAGTATGAATAAGACTTTTGTGTCTAAAAAAATCAACAGTTATCTATTCTAACTATTTTATTTTATTATTACTTTAAATGATTAAGAATCATGATTCAATTCTGTTAAAATATGATTTATATTGAAAAAAATAAAATAAAATAAATATACCTACAGTATAACCTCTATAAATTAATATTCGATAAATTAATAATCACTGTAAATTAATAGTTTTTGTCGGTCCCAAGTCGGGCCAGTGTAAAAATTGATAAAATTCGATAAGATAATAAGAAATTATAAATAGTGCCCTAACCATATTTTAAGGAGCTTGAGCCCAAATAAAAAAAAAACTTTTATATATTATTTAATAATAATTTAATCAAATATTTTTTTAAAATTGTTAAAATGTCAAATAACAAAAAAAAACTGTTGGACTTTGAACTTGAGATTGCAACCTCAAAAGTGAAATTTATAAAATTGCATTAACCACTACACTACTGTTGATTTAAAAAAAAAAAAATCAAGTGCATTCACCTTTTACTAATTATTTTTAATATTTATAGATAAATTCGATGTATTCACTCGTTATATTTTTAAACAAAAATCTTATCTATAAATTTTTTTAACTAAATGAAATGTTTTCACTACTGTTGATTTTTAAAAATTAAAAGCTTCAAAACAATATATTATTTTTGAAAACTTGAGGTAAATTTTTTTTTTGCTTACATATGAAACACGGTTTTCATTACAAACTTTTTTATAACAAAATAATTTTCTTTAATCTTGATGTTTTGATAATATGCATGTAACCAATCAAAATAAATAACAAAAAGAAGATATTACCTTAAATATGGTGCATAAGAACACAAAAAACCACAAACAAAATAGTAAACCTCATTGCAAAAAATAATAAAAGAGTGTCTATGTCTTTCACAAAAGATAGTTGTTTATCTCATAGTATCAATATAGTTTATATATATACACAACAAACATTAAAGTATTTATTATTTTTACTCAAAAACGTAAGTAGTTTGACAAAATAATTAATTACATATCTAGATTTCAAAACAAAAATATTCATAACTAAATTTCTCTAAATAAAAATAAACATAATCTGAGATATCTTTTACTATATTTACAAATATATATATATATATATTATCATCAATACAAAAAATGAGAAAATTTGGAAAAATATCTTTTTTATACAGCATTTACAAAAATATCCTAAGAGAATATTTAATAAACTATTTTTTTCAAGTTTACATTTCTTTTTAATAAACTACTCTTATAAATAGTTTTTAATTACATTAAGTTAATTAAAAATTTAACTAAAATAAAAATAAAGTAAATTATTGTGTTTAAAAACAAATTAGCAGTAATCTATTCTAGCTACTTTTATTTTTCTTTTACTTTATATGATAAAAAAATCATGATTCTATAATAATATATAGGATACTCTATTAGAATTTGATTAATATTGGATATAAATAAAAGAATGTAGTCTTTATGTCAATTTCTTTCATAGCATCTTGTTTTTTTACAATGACCAACATATCAAAATTTGGTGCTGTTTAGAGATTAGTTATAATTTGATCACCAGTGGTTTTTTTTAGTCTTATTTTGATTTTGTATATTTTTGATTTTGTTTTTTTAACTTTCTTGTTCACATTTAGTCTTGTAAAAGATTTGATCATTATAACATGATCGTTTTTGTTATATTTCAAAAGATTTATCTAATTATATAATCTTGATTTGGTCATGTTTAGAGATCTTATAATTTAATCACCATTGGTTTTCTTATTTTTATTTTGATTTTGTATATTTTGTTTTTTAATCTCCTTGTTCACATAATCATATAAAAGATTTGATCATTATAACATGATCTATTTTGTTATACCAAAAGATTTATCTAATTATATGGATTTGACAGGTATGTCAACTTAACAGCGGAATAACTGAATAATAAA